GGTCTATAATTCCACATTCCATAACATGGCATTTATTAACATTAAATTCCATTTACCAAGTGGTGCTCCATATACTTATTTTGTCCAGGTCATCTTGAAGGGCATGACAATCATCTAAGTTTCTTATCCTTCCTGTTATCTTAGCATCATCAGCAAACATGTTCATGTTGTCCCTAGCCGCTGGTGCTGGGGCTGTTCATCTGGTCTTATCTTGGGTTTTTCTCATTTTATCCTCTTCATTGTTGTGTGTTTTGTATGTGTCTTTTGGCTCTCCTATTGCCTGGTTGGGTTCCTGGTTACCTGGCTTACCCTGCCAGCTGGCTTTTTCGAGGTCTCACTCTGTCCCTTCACTCGAGTCTCGCGTTGGGACCAAAAGATCTCAGATCTCATGATGAGCTCGCTTGTGTTAGGGAGTTTTCTGTACGGCAGACATTCTATCTCCTTCCTTGCCGGCTTAGGTTTCTGGCTCTGCTTGCTCAGTGTTCTCACCCGAGATATTCCCACGGCTCCGCCTCTTTCTAGGCTCAGTTGGTCCATGGTGGGGCTGGTTTGATTCTGCCTCGAGTCTCTCACCGTCTGTTGGTGGTCAGGTGGCTTTGTTGATGGTGTCCCACCTGCGTGTTTCTTTTTTGTGGTGATGTGAGTGTTTTTGGCGGTCCTTCCTTTTTCTCTGTCCCTTCTTAAGTTTGCTGTGTTTTGTTGGCATGGGCTTATCCTTCTCTTGTGGGGGTTCGAGGCCGTCGTCTTGCCACATACTGTCGCCTTGTCATACAGCATTGGCGGAGCCGCTGCAACTTGCTTTCGGTATTGATGTTACTTCTGCGCTGTTTCGCAAGCCTTCTCATACGTTGTTTCACCTCCGGCCTTCTCTTGCGCCGCTTGAGCCGTCCTGGTTATTGGGCAGGGTGCTCTCTTTTCCCTCTTCTTCTCGGTTTGCTGTGGCCCCTTCGGTTCAGGATTGTTTCTCAGAGGCTCTTTTTCCCATTGGTGTTGGCCTCTGGGGGGTCAGGTCGGGGAGCTTCGTGCTCCTCTGGCGCAGGGGTTTCTGCTCTTTCGATCGTGGCGCTCGGTTTGTGTGTCTACAGCTGTCTCCTTCTTTTCTGACAAAGATTGAGACTGCTGCTTTCCAGAGAGGTCCTTGGGTTGTTGTTGCTTGGTTTGTCAGGCTGGGGGTGCATCATGTTTTGTGTCCGGTTGTGGCCCTCAGCTGTTATTTGCGCGCCATAGCTTCTGTGTCCGGAGACGCGCTTTAGGTCGATCCTGTTTCCCTTCTCTGTTGGTGGGTGCAGGTCTCCCAGGTCATCTGCAGGGTTATTACGGCTTGCCAGCCTGCAGTCTATCCCTGTGCGTTCGTCAATTCGTTGCTCTTGCTACCGTCTTTGGCAACATGTCCTGGGCTGACATTCGGGCACAGGGTTTTTGGCGGTCGAACAGGGTCTTGGCTGCATGCTACCTCGTGTACATTCCTAGGCCTAGTCGCGCCTGTGTCGCTTTGGGTCGGCAGTTGCAGTCAGTTGTCTTGATTTCGAGTTGCAGTGTGAGCAGCGACCACTTCCCAGGTAGGTCCCTCTCCTTTTTATCTGTGGGTAGTTAGCTCCGAGGAGCCGAAGGGGCTTCCCCCAGAAAACCAGCATTGAATGTAATGAAACGCCATTTTCTGGGTGAGACGCGGAGGCTTCCTGGCATCCCTCCCTTCCCCGGTCGGCGGTTTTTCGCATGTTTTGATGTCCAGCCTCAGAACTGAAGGGTGGATAGCCAGCACGGGGGTCTGGGGCTCCCCCTTTCCCCTCCCAGGGAGGGGGTAACTGTGCAGACAGCAGCGCAGCGACATGTGACGTCATGCTTGTTTGCTCGTTTCTTTTTGGGGAGTTCCATTCACTTGTTCGGCTTTTGATAGCAAATTTTCACCAGAATATTGCTCCATGTTCTGGCTCGTGGTCCCCGGTAGGCCCACAGAAGTCCATACACATGACTGATGTCAAAGTCTGACATCAAAGTTTGATGGCGTTTCATTACATTCAACTCTGGTTTTTTAACCAAGTGAACTTTTTGCTATCCAACCAGCAGAGATATAATATAAACAACCTCCTTGAGGCACTGGACTGGAAGCATCACATCAAAAGTGCCTGCAAGCTATTCATCCAGGCTTAAAAGACTACATAATTGGCTACCAAACACTGTGACTTGTCAGCTAGAGACAAGAAAGTACACAAGGAGCTGTGCATAGATTGGAACTGGTCAATTAATTGTGCATCTTACAAGCACGCAATCATTATTTATCTCTAATTTTGATTCCTGCACGAGTCAAAATATAGCACAAACTTAATCAATCAACCTCCCCTCAACAAGTCTTGCTTCAGCAACTAAGTGCCAGACCACTACTGAGACATTGAAAGATTGAAAAAATTTGCAAAGGAGGAACCTGAAACCCACAGAGTAGTAGTTAAGCTGGTGGTTAACCCTCAAACCGCGCATATCATATATAAATGATATCAGTGACAAAACCGAAACCGTGCACATCATTTATATATGATTTCGTGTCTAGCGCTATAATTTAAACTCCCCGCCTGGGATAGGGGCAGCTATAGTACAGCCACGACCGATAGTTGCCAGATGCCACCTAGAAAAAAAATCCAGGCCAACATTCTTGGGTGTTACAGCGTCAGTATTGAGCAAGCCACCAAGGCTGGCGCACGCAGCACGAGCTCACAGCACCGCTGTTCAGCTTGTGACCACAGCATCGCCTACAAATACCATAATATATATGATACTGCTATTATTTAGCAGTGATAGTATTACTGAAGCCCCCTGACTGTGATAAAACTGACCAGGATTCTGATAATAGCAGGATTGTGGTGATATTTAGCGCTGTGCTCCATGGAGGGAGGCGTAAGGCTGTGCGAGGGAGGGTTGTGGCGTCGTCTTCTGACTGTGTGTGGCCACCATTTATTGACTGCACTCACCATACCAGCTTAGTGGTTCGATATGGTGAACACAAATGTAGATACTTATATATAACATGTGTATAGAGTGTGATAACAGCGAGAGGAGTAGGTTGGGAGCCGCCATTTTGGTGAGGGAGGAGCATTTTGAGTACAGCTATGGTTCACACATTTTATAATATAAATATACCACAATTCACTGTATGGAATAATATTACTGCAAAAAAACTAAGAAAAAATCAGAGACATTGAAATAATTAGGTAATAATATATTTGTGGCAACTGCCGTCTGACAGCTCAGGCGGAGTAGACCTCATCTGGCGAAGGCTCTGCCAACGCCCCTTTTTTGCCACACTTCCCTACCCTATTGTGGCTAAAATATGCCACCTACGATTTTTTTGTTATTTTTTCTGTGATCAGGGAACAAAAATGAACACTTCTATAAGACGAAAGAATTTTTTGGATTTTTTTTTTTTGTTGCGCCTGTGGGTGTGAATTCCATTTGGGCCCCTAGCGGTTTGAGGGTTAATAGTGTTTGCTAGTGTTGCCAGGGAGGGAATTCCCCCAAACAAAAGCCAATGCTGAATAAGACCTAAATGCTTAAGTTATCCAGCATATACACCTGTGAAACACTGTTAGCATAAGTCCAATAAATAAGGACACACGTTTCAAGCATAGGTTAGACGTGTGTTTTAAGCATAGATCAGATATGTTGTTTCAAGCATGGGTTGAACATGTGTTGTTTCAAGCATGGGTTGCACGTGTGTTGTTTCAGGGATGGGTTGCATGTGTGTGTTGTTTCAGGGATGGGTTGCATGTGTATTTGTTTCAAGCATAGGTTGTATGTGTGTTGTTTCAAGCATAGGTTGCACGTGTGTTGTTTCAAGCATGGGTTGCACATGTGTTGTTTCAAGCATGGGTTGCACGTGTGTTGTTTCAAGCATGGGTTGCACGTGTGTTGTTTCAAGCATGGGTTGCACGTGTGTTGTTTCAAGCATGGGTTGCACATGTGTTGTTTCAAGCATAGGTTGTACGTGTGTTGTTTCAAACATAGGTTGTACATGTGTTGTTTCAAGCATAGGTTGTACGTGTGTTGTTTCAAGCATAGGTTGTACGTGTGTTGTTTCAAGCATAGGTTGTACGTGTGTTGTTTCAAGCATAGGTTGTACGTGTGTTGTTTCAAGCATAGGTTGTACGTGTGTTGTTTCAAGCATAGGTTGCACGTGTGTTGTTTCAAGCATAGACTGGTCATGTGTGTTTCAAGCATAGGCTGGTCATGTGTGTTTCAAGCATAGGCTGGTCATGTGTGTTGTTTCAAGCATAGGCTGGTCATGTGTGTTTCAAGCATAGGCTGGTCATGTGTGTTTGAAGCAAAGGCTGGTCATGTGTGTTTCAAGCATAGGCTGGTCATGTGTGTTTGAAGCAAAGGCTCGTCATGTGTGTTGTTTGAAGCATAGGCTGGTCATGTGTGTTGTTTCAAGCATAGGCTGGTCATGTGTGTTGTTTCAAGCATAGGGTGGACATAGGTGCTGTTTCAAGTGTAGGTTAGACATGCAGTTTAATTAATTTAGGTAGATATTCTTTAAATAGGCCCTGTCTTGTACACCCCATTAGGCTTTGTACAGTTTCCTTTATTCTTATGATATTAATGTATAATATCAGTAGTATTTTTCAATCTGATCCCTTCATGGTCCTCCCCCTATCGGATGGGGGGTAGAGCATGTTGTTGGGGATTTGCACTTGGTCTCAGTGAACAGAGGAAGGTATAGAAGCCTGACATGTTAAACTGGGGTGCCAGTGCAGTAGCTAGGGAGTTATTAAGGTAACTTTTCCTGAAAGGAATAATGTACATTTTGGGATTTTTTAATAATATTCAATAAAGTATTCAAATTTTAATTGAGAAATTAATATATGCATTGCTAACTTCATGTAATGATTTACATTGTGGCACTAAAATATACTTGAAGACTGTACAGTGGATTTATGTAAAACTCAACATAGAAGCAAATAGATTTTTGAAGTAGCTAAGTGATATTTGTTATTACTTTTAATTTTCAGGTGGAACATTCAACTGGGTAACAGAGTCTACTTTTGATACAACAATAGCAGACATGGAATATGAGGCTACTCATGCCCCAACTCTGGGCTCGGCTTCAGGGCTCTTGTTTAGCCGAGGATCCTCTGGTGAGTGCCACTCTCCTCTCTAGGAGGTATGAAAACATTTAATAGTAGTATTATATAGGAGTACGACTTCTGGTACAATTGCAGGCACTCATAGCTTGAGAGAAGAGAATAAAAGGGTATTCAGAGAAGGTCTTGTGGATCCTCCCTTGAACACTTGAGTATTTTCTTCTAATACCACCCCTACTTTTATATTATTTTATACAGTATGATTTCTGGGGGGAGCCCCATCGGCTCCCCGGAGCTATCCAGGCTGAATGGATATGTATAACTTTCTGGCATCAGTCAAAGTGCATGGAGTTCTTGCCTACCGGGGACCATGAGCCAGAACCTGGCCCCCTCAGAGAGGCACGAGGAGCAATGGCCTATAGAAACCCCTTTGTGATTGGAAGCATTCTATGTCTGCCATTGACTGGGACAGGCACCCAGAAAGGTAGGCGCCCCAAAACAAACCCCTATTTTGGTGAAATTATTACTACCAAAAGCCGAACGAGTGGACAAAACTCCCCAAACAAAATTATCAAACTAGCATGACGTCATCACGTCGCCGCGCCACTGTCTGCGTAACCCCCCCCCTCCTCCCCGAGATGGGGAAGGGGGAGCCCCAGACCCTCCACGCCGGCGATCCAACAACTGGCAGTTCTTGGCTGATGGTATTACTGGTTGGTCGAGTGCCTCTGGGTCCGGTTTTTGTTTCAGTTCTGTTGCTTGAGGTGTGGACTGTCTCTACCGGTGGGGTGTGAGCCAGGAGTCAGATTCCATGGTACTCGGGCTGCATGTGCCTAGGGCTATCTTCCCTAGGTGCCCTGTAAGTACTGCCCTTTGGGCTTGGGGCCACCTTCCACAAGTCACCTTGGGTTCTGCCTCCGCTGTGTCCTTTACTGCTCGGTACTGGGCCGCCCTTGGAGTCGACTGGGGTTTTGTTCCCCTGGTTTGTCTCTGGGTAGGTGATAGTTTTCATCACTGGTAGGGGCACGGGGGTACTGCACAGCTAGTTTTCACCATTAACAGCGGCCGGCTCTGTTCCGCCTGGGTACGTTGTCCTCTTGCGGGGTTTTTCTTTTGTTTTTATTTTTGCCTGGTGGGGGGGGTCTGCCTTTACTATGGTCCCCCTTTCCTGTTCTAGGTGAATTTCTTTCGAATTCTTCTGTTGGCGGTACTCCCCGCTTGGCCCCCGTGAGTGGACACGTCCCGAGGGTTCAGCTTTAGCAGTTTGTTGGTAGATTTGGGCGCCGGTTACCCTGCCTGGGCTTCCCTTAGCGTGTACCAAAGGCTAAGGGCCCTGGGAAACCCCACGGGGGCTCCGTGGTCCTCTAAGTGTGTCCCCGGAATCCCCCTCGCATCTTGCGAGTTTGACGGTTGATCTGTCCCCTTGTCTCAGGGTGACACTCACCGGTTGTGCCTCCGCCATGCTGCCTGTTGGGTCCTTGTTCTTGTGACCTGGAGTCGTCTGCTGATTGTTGTCGGTACGTGCTCTCCTTCACCCAGGCCACTGGTCTTGATAATCGGGTGCAGGCAGCTGCACCGTTGCTTGCTGGGTGTGTGTTGCTGCAACGCTCTTGGTTTGCGGCCCCGGATGCCCCGAGGCTGCCCCGTTTTTGGTGGTTGGGGTCTGGACTTGGGGGTGGGGGTCACTTCGGCTCTGGCTCCTTCCGCTTCTTGTTCCTCCCCTTCTGTTCTACTCACTTCCTCCCTTGCTTCCTGCTCCGAACCATAGGCGGGTTTTGGGGTTGGGGCGGGGTCTGGTTAGGTTGAGACTCGGGCGGTCTCAGGGGTTTTCCTCTTCCGGGGTGGCGGCGGAGGCATTCGAGTCGGTTCCTCCAGCCGTGCTGTATGGGTCTGACCAGTGGGATCCCTGCATTAGTGTTTGCACGGCAGCCCCGGCTTTTCCTTGTTAAGCTGGGGCTTTGGGGGTGCATCTCAGCCCTGGGTCATGCCGTAGAGGTTCCCGGGGTTAAGGAGGGGTTGCCTGAGGGGCCTCTGCCCCGTTTGCCCCTCTTGGGTCCTTGTACCTTTGGTGTGGGACTGGCAGTTCCTCAGTGGGGTTGTTCCTTCCCTCTGTGTTCCTGTTGTTTTCGGGTATACCCCTCCCTTGGTTCGGTTCCGTGTTCCTTCGGGTTCATCAGTCCCGTCGTTCCTGGGGGTGTGTTTCACCCCTTGTTCCTTACCCTTTTCGCTCTCTTATGTCGCGATGCTGTTCACAAAAAAACAAAACAAAAGAAAAACAAAAAAAAGTGTTCAGGTAAGGTACATCCATACAAGGTGTGAAACAAACATTGATGGATTTCTATATTGACCTAGTACATAGTGCCTAAACCGCTTCGTATCGTTGTCCCTGCATGTTCCTTGGTCAGGGGTGCTTGTCATGGTTCTCATTGGTTCGCGAGTCTCTTCGTACCTTCCAATATTATTGGAACGTCTGTTGATTTTCGATGTGGTTTCCATCGGGTCTTTCGTCGGCTTTGTTGGGTCCCTTCCATCGTCTGTTTTCTTTCGCTAACTAGCTCTCCACAGCCATAAGAAAACAATATAATTCTTGCAACACCGCCAACGCCACCTCCCTTCGTTAGGCTTAAATTGAGTCACATACACAACAGTTCTTCCTTCCTCCTTGACCAACTCCCTTTCTCCCTGACCAACTTCCTCCCTCCCTTCCTGATCGTTATCCCCCAGGTGGTCCCTCCCAAAGCTCCCCTCTCTCCCGACACCACCCACCCACCCTACCCCCTCCTACACCTTGTGGCTGAACGGCCGCAAGTTAACCAGCTCCGATTTTTTATCAGACTTCCATGGACATTTTGGCTGGATATTGAGATAACTTTATCCGGTCACAATTTTGGCCGTATAAGGGCATTTGCCGGATACTCGAATCCTGGATAATCGAGTGTCTACAGTACTGCTTTTGGGGCTTGGGGTTACCTTCCACAAGTTCCTTGCATTCTGCCCCTGCTTGGCCGTTTACAGCTTGGTTTTCGGCCACCCCTTGTGTGCTAGCGTGTTCTATTTCCCTTGTTTGCCTTGGGGTAGGGGACAGTTTTCACTGGTAGGGGCACAGGGTTATCTTGAGATCTTCTTGGGGCTTTAGTGTCCCCGCGGCCCGGTCCTCGACCAGGCCTCCATTCCCCAGGAAGCAGCCCATGGCAGCTGACTAACACCCAGGTACCTATTTTACTGCTAGGTAACAAGGGCATAGGGTGAAAGAAACTCTGCCCATCGTTTCTCGCCGGCGCCCGGGATCGAACCCGGGACCACAGGATCACAAGCCCAGCGTGCTGTCCACTCGGCCGACCGGCTCCCGGTACTGCACAGGGTACTGCGGAACTTGTTTTCACCAATCATAGTGGCCGGCTCTGTTCTGCCTGGGTACGCTGTCCTCTTGCGGGGTTTTCTTTTTTTTCTGGGGGGGAGCCCCTACGGCTCTCCGGAGCTTACCAGGCTGATATGCTAATGTCAGACTTTGGCATCAGTCATGTGTATGGAGTTCTTATGGGCCTACCGGGGACCACGAGCCAGAACCTGGCCCCCTCAGAGAGGCAAAGGGGAGCAATGGCCTATAGAAACCCCCGTGTGGTTGGAAGCATTCTATGTCTGCCATTGACCGGGTTAGGCACCCAGAAAGGTAGGCATCCCAAAACAAATCCCTATTCTCATGAAAATTGCAACCAAAAACCGAACGAGTGGCTAGAACTCCCCAAACAAAAATGAGCAAACTAGTATGACGTCACCCATCATCGCACCGCTGTCTGCGCAGCTCCCACCTCCACAGGAGGGGGAAGGGGTAGCCCCAGACCTACCACGCCGGCGATCCACACCCCAGTTCTTCGGCTGATGCTAATGGCACAGGTTGTGTGCTCCGGCTCCAGTGGTTGTTTCAGCACTGTACCTAGAGTGTCTGTGTTCTAGGTGGTGCGTGAGCCGGGAGTGAGTCTCCAGTACTCGGGCTACATTCGCCTAGGGTTTCCTTCCCCAGGTGCCCTTGTAAGTACTGCCCTTTGGGCTTGGGGTTACCTTCCACAAGTTCCTTGGGTCCTGCTTCTGATAGGCCGTTTGCTGCTTGGTTTTCAGCCACCCTTTGTGTGATAGGGGGTTCTGTCTCCCTTGTTCGCCTTAGGGTAAGGGGCAGTTTGCACTGGTGGGGCGCAGGGTGCTGCGCAGCTTGTTTTCACCAATCATAGCGGCCGGCTCTGTTCTGCCTGGGTACGCTGTACTCTTACGGAGTTTTCTTTTTGTTTGTCTACCTGGTGGGGGGGGCTCTGCCTTTGGTTCTTTCCCCTTTTGTGCCGAGTTCTCTTCCTTCTTCCGGTGGTTTCCCCTGCTATGTCCCCGTGAGTGTACACGTCCCGGGGGTTCAGCTCTTAGAATGTTGTTCGGTAACCATGGGCGCCAGTTAGCAGTACCCTGCCTGGGATTACCTGAGCACGAGTCCTCATATAGTAAACGCTCGGGACCCTGGGAAACCCCTAGTGGGAGCGTGGGCCTGATAGATGTGGCCCCCGGAGTCCCCCCCCTCGCTTTGTGCGAGTTCGAGGGTTGCTCTATCCCCTTATCTCAAAGTGACTCTCAAGGTTTTGCCTCCGTCTGCAGCCTGTGGGGTCGGTGGCACTTTCGGCCCGGGGTCCTGCAAGTTTTGTTGCTTGTTTTGACTTGGTTACCCAGTCTTATGCTGACTATGTGGGTGCAGGCTGCACAGGCATTGCATATTAGGTTTCAGTGGCAACGCGCTAGTTGTTTGCTCCTCGGAAGCCCCGAGGCTTCCCCGTTTTCATTGGTGGTCTTGTCGCGTCCCCTCCCCCCCCCCCCCTTCATCTCTACATCCGGGTCTTTACCGTCTGTGGGTTCTGGGTCGGGGCGGGGCTTCCATGGTTTTGAGACTGTTGGTCTCGGGGATTTCCCTTTCCGTGGTAGCAACGGGGGTATTCGAGCTTGTTTCCTACAGACTTGTTGTAAGAGTCTGCCAGTGGACTCCCTTCCTTAGTGCTTTTCACGGCTGCCCCAGTTTTTTG